TCATAACGTGAGCCTTGATAAATATTGGAGGAGGTTTGATCACTGTTGTCAATGGTTTTGTAACGTGATTTGATACTTCGTATCTGTTTGATATTAGGGTTTCGGTCTGCTCCACTAACCATTTTTGTTTTTTTGCCTATATTGTTACTGTCGTTCGGTGTTATTTGTTTTAAAATTATTCTTTTGATTTTTTTAGGCAGATTTCACTCTTTCTTCGTATCTATATCCATGCAGCTTGGGTTTTTCTCTGTTGAGTGCTTGTGGAGAACTTGTGGTGATTCATGGTTATCCATTTGTTAGAGTATTAGAATTGTAATATTAAAATTTAAAGAGGCGGCAATTGCTCGGTTTTGCCAGGTCGAGCGTAATTTGTTTACGTATAGTTCATAACACTCACACTTCACCGCTTATGTTACAGCGGTAATAGAACTGAAAACCAAACATAATAAAATTGCGTTTGAAACTCCGTTTTTTTAGATATTAACATTTTAAAATGTTCCTGTGGTAGAGCAAACCTCCCTACACCAACGTATGTGGGGGATGACAAGATACGAGGGATATAGGTCGACCATGCAAACCTGAAGGTATTAACGCGCATGTCCAAGCAAATGAGGGGAAAACAGGCGGACGCGCCATCCCCTCTACTCTACGACCCAATACTGTTTCCGCTTGAGGGGAAGTTTTACTGTAGATCAGGGCCGCTTAGGCAGACGTTTTACGAGCATAGCTAACAATAAGAGCAGGTAACGTCGACAATCGTGAATGGAGTGGGAAACAACGGTGGTGATGGGAGTGTAGGCTCGTTTGGAGAGGTGTTTCATATTCTTAGTGGAAGAGCTATAGTGAGGTCGTAAATCACAACATTGAGCCAAAACATCGATTGATCTAGCCGCAAGCAGGGCCGTGCACGTTTTATAGAAATCTCCAAAATCTGAAGTCACGAGCGAAAGGCGTGAACCCTCGAATAGTCGATGCTTCTAGAGGCCCAGCGACGGCCATCATTGGGTCAGTGTAGACCTGTATCTACCTTTTTTCTGTTTTTATCACTTTTTTAAATATACTGCAGTGGAAGTGCCGAGTTGACTTTGTGCGACGCTGAACGAGGCTCGAACTCCTTATCTCGCCCAATTGATGTTTTAACGATCGGATTTCATGTTCTTTCACCCCTGTCTGATTTTACGACCTCATTACAGCTCTTCCATCAAGTATACCATCGGTTACCTTTTTCAGCGCGTACGATAACACCTGTTTTTTTCTGGCAATCACTACTACATTCATAGGATCGTTGGTCAAGTCTGCGTGGCTACTGCTCGAATACGCTCCGAGTTCGAGTTTGTCTGCCCATTTCACGTAGAGCAACTTCGAGATTGGCTCCAACTTCGAGTCTCGTGCTGTTAATTAGAGTAAGGCTGTGGCGTTTACTCTTACGTTTTCGCTGATAATCAGCTAATCATGATAAGATAAAGGTGTTGCACTTACTCTTCTATGAACGACAGACGACGATTGAGACTCTCACGAGCAGTCTGTAATCGATAAGGAGTCGATAGACCCGAGTGATCATTTTTGACGCTCGATGAGTAATCCACCAGTGGTCATTTTTATCATTTTTATCCTATCTTTATGAAAATAGTACTAATGGATTGACGAGGTTGTCCCAGTTAAAATGAGTTCAAACACGACGTACTTCGGAATAGCCATAACAGAAATCGCTCTTCAAGTATCGTAGAAAATCTGGGATATTTAAATTGATGACTGGCAGAATTACTCTGATTTATGTCCTGTTTGGATTCATTTTCATCAGGAGCATCTCACCAATTCATCGGTGCTATTTTCATACAGATAAGATGAAACTTGGAAACATTGAAATTTTTTAATCGTCGCTGTTTGACGTATGGCGGTCATAGCCCTCGATTGTTTCAACATGCTCGTTGACATCAGAAAGTCGGTAGCACGCTGATTAATAGGTACATTCTGAAGCGCATATGCTGCGTCTGTGGCAGCGAGCGTGTCAACTGTCGAGTTTTCCTCACGTTCTGTGATTGCAACGCAACATTTTTCAAACAATAATCGATGAAATCGTTAAAGTTTTCTTTTCTTTCATTGTCGACAGCTGATTGAAAATCATTTGTCTAAACCATTTACATACATCACAAATTCCCCCCAAACGGCGGCAGTGTAGGACTGAAGAGTAGTGGGGCTGGCTTGACCGCTCATTTTTCGCTCATTTGGTCAGACGATGACGTCAGAATCCTCCTCTTTGCTTTGCCGATCTGTAGATAAGTTGTTTTCAACGAACCGCCTGATAGAAGAACGGGAAAATGACAAGATCGCGTGCCCACCTTGTCTTCCTACGTGTGTCGGCGCACAAGATAAACATTTAACAGCACCTAAGACGTCGATTTCCAAATGACTCACATGTTATAAACTGTTATTGTAAAACCTCAGTAAATCTGGTAATATTTTTTAAGATTTAGAAAAGTGTAAATTAAACAGTTTTTTGTTATTCTTCAATAACAAGATAGTTTTTTGATCTTTAAAAAATTGTTTACGAAACCCAAAATTTTTTTAACGAAATGAAGAAAAGCACCACAGTTCGACAGCCATCGTTTCCGTGCCTCAAAAATCGGTACGAGGCTCATCTGTCGCCTATGGTAGTTCGTGGAATAGTAAGTGCGATAGACTTACTCTATTGCTATTGGCTGATTAACAGCGACAACGTTACAAGTTCTCCTCCATCTCCCACTTCCTGACCCCAACTCCGCCTTGAACTTTCAACTTTTGTTGGTCGATCTATACAGCGATACTCAAAACCAACGACATATGAGCGACAGCTTGGCTTATACAAGTCGTAAAGAAGAAGACAGTGACATTCTGTGGTGTAAACAACATTACCAATTTCTGCAATATTACCATTTGCTTCACCAAAACACAGATGCAAGTTGGAACATTCTTCAAATGTGTATTCCATTACATATTGTAACATAACAAACACTACACTATGCACACAACAAACACAGTCCACATAAATGACTGAAAAATAATAACCGTATGCTCACACACACACACGCGTATGCACGAAATGAAAACTAAAAAAGACAAATAAGATTAAGAAATTAAGGAAAAATAAGATAAACTTATATTACCGCTCATAAGCATTGTCCATCTATTATTTTTTCTTCATTCAAAGACGTGTTAAATTATTCAATATTACTTTTTTAAATAAGGGTTACCAAAGAAGTTCAATTCTTAGTTTCTTACTTGGAAACAGATTAAATGGTGTTTCTTATTGAAACAGAGAACATTGTGAATAAATGGGTGCGCAAATACTTATGAATGGTTGTAGGTGCTGCACCGAAACGATTTTCGTTGGTCGGTGCTTCTCGCTACGCTGCACGACAAATTAATGTTGTGCAGCAGATTATTATTGTTAGTAGACTCTAAGCGAAGATTTCCGTGGTTGTTTCGATATTTTCGTTTGAAAACCTAATTGAAACGCGGTTTAAACTAAATAGAAACTTTTCTCTTGCACGAAGAGCCACGTGTGCCTTCACTTTATTGTCTCACTAACTGAGGCAACACCTTGACTCACTGTCACCTGGTGTTACCTTGATTCCGATCACTGACTCTATGTGATGGACTTTTTTGATGTTGGATTCGCGTATATGTACGATATACGGTCGGATACTGGTCTAAGATTCACACTGATTCTTTTACTGGTACTCTGTGTACTGGTCTGGTTGTACTGGTGTTCTTAATATTTATACTTCTCAGAATGCCAAAGCAAAGCGGTAATTGGTGGATTGATTTTGGTGGGAGACGAAACTCCAAATCGTTCCGATTGGTGCGGGTGCAGCTACAACTTTTCCCAAATTTCGAAGGAAAGGGAAAGCGCGGTAGTGCGCTAGTGGGAGAAAGAGCCCAAAGGTCACGGGACCTTTTCACGGGATTCGAGGCAGGTAGGCTACCACTAGGATTCGTGATGTCCCGCGGTGTCGAAAACCATAAAGAAAGGCTTTATGGCAAGGTGTTAACGAGCACGAAACTAGGATGCTCTAATCCATGTCGTGAACAACCTTATTGTGTCACTGAGCGTTAATCCTCTCAATTGTGACAATGCTTGAATGTCGAACAATGTTCTCATTAGGAGAAAAGGAATACTTTGGCAATCTGATGAAGCAGAAAAATATAATAGCATGTATATTCCGTCGGATGGACGGAACAATGGTAGTGTATGTATATTAAAACTACACCTATGTGTAATAAATCAAATTTAACTGATTATACCAAATTCAAACGAATTAACTTATTATTTTAAAACTGTAGAGTAATGTATAACTTTTAGTAATTATTAACATTAAGAGAAAAAATTAAAATAAGTTCGCTTATTATGCCGAGTAGCTCTTCAAAAGTTTCACTTTCGTTATCGAAATGATTTTCTCCTTTCAAAGCTGTTTCAGCCTTCTATAAAAATCAAAATAGACGTGATTGGTTCCTTCAGGAGGGGGATATCCTCCAATTGGCTAAAACACGACGTGGTAGTGGTCAAAAGTTTATTCAGAAAGCAAAATTTACAACATCCGTCTCCCTTTGCTAATGTTTTTGCTTCCTATGTCTAACTTAAAATTGATAAGGAACGGTCTGAGTATGTGGGAGCATACTTTTAAGCAAGGGTATAACAATGGAGAAAGTAGACCAGATGTGTCCATAAAACGGTGGAAGCTTTGGAAGAACAGAATCATTTCGACAACGAAAGTGAAAATTTTGAAGAGTTACTGTATGCGGATAAGTGAACATAGCACTCATTTTAATCTCTTTCTTTTAGTTATTCATTATTTTATAGTTATAAAATAATAAGTCAGTGTGCTCGTGTATTTGAATATTGTACAGTGATTGTTTTTCAATGACCTGCGTGGATTGTGTGCATTGTATGCATAGTACACGTTGCGTTTATTATATGACGGTATAATGGAATACACGTTTGAAGAACTTTCGACATACACATGTGTTATGATGAGGCGAACGGTAGTGTCGCAGGAGTTGGTAACGTGGTTTACGGCGTTGAATGTCACTGTCTTCTCTACAACTTATACGAGCTAAATTGTCGACCATACTTGAAGGATCGCCGTATGTACCTCTTGTGTTTTGATATGCTCTACATTCATTGGTGTAGGAACGTTTGCTAGAACACAGGGATATTTTTAAATGATAATAACTAACAAACGAAGTGTCCAATTTTGTTACTCTTGATTTTCGTCTTATTTTGGCTGTAGTAGCACCTCTCAAATTTTTTATCAACTATTGCCGAACACCCTGTATACTTCAAATTAATATAAGCTGATATTCAAAATTTTATGAAAATAGCTGCGCGGATGTTTTGCGAACGTCTTAAAGACGTCAAGTAAAAGTCTAAATATTGGGTTGGTCCATAAGTCCGTGCGGTATTTCCTGGTTTTTGTTCTCTTCGCTCAGATTATGTGAAATCCATAAACCAAGTTTTTGCACTTTTCCCATTGTCTTTAAATGACGAAGCACTGTTTAATGAGAACAGTGCATCTTCTCGACTAATAAGTGTCATTACAAAGCAGAGCTTCCAAACTTTCCTCATCGAACTAAAATGGTCGATTCATCATTTATGGCAAACTTGTCTATTTTTGTGCTGCTCTGTTAGTAACATAATTTTCTCCGTAGACGATGTAAATGTTATGGGCAGCTTCATAACCACGATTAAACTCATAAAGTAAAATATGCCGGAGATGCTCATTTTTGTTGATCTGACCAAGTTTGTTTTTGAACAAAAAACTGTTTATTGTTTGCACAAAACCAAAAAATTCACGATACCATACAAGAAGAGAACAAAAGCCGATAGGCAAATGTTATGAATTTCATTCAATACGAAATGTTTTTGCACGAGTTCGCGATGCAACGCGATCTATTTTACTAAATACGGCGCGTTCATGAAGATCGTAACTCTTCACTCCGATGTTTCGACACCGCGTATCGTACAGTGTTTTTTCCTTACGAACGTTTCCGGAGGTAAGGAATGATACTTTCGATGTGTCTTTTGGTTTTTACTTGTTCTCATGAAGGGTGTATTTTGAACTGTTATTTTGTGGTGGTGCGTGGGTATATATTGGGTCGGTGTATGTTCTGATTGGTTGGACGTTGAAGGTGGTGGAAAAGAAGGTCTCGAAAAATGCGGAGGTGTGATTGGATATTAGGAAACTAGTGGAAGGAGAACGTGAGGGTGAAGGTGGTGGGCAAAAGTTTAAATAATATGGGAAAAACCCGGAAAGGGGAAAGGGATAGGAAACATGACCAGGATGCGACGTGAACTGCTTTATGGTAGGGAAGGAATTTGTTAGGGGCTAGGAAGACGGCTGGAAAGGACTGTTTATTAGTTTATGGCTCATTACTGGCCGGTGGGCTGCGCGACCGGACAAGGACAATCGAACACGAAATGAAAACCGCACGAACTTATAGACCAACCTAATATGTCCAAAAGACGTCTGAACGACGCGACGTCCAGTGTTACAAATCAAGATTGTTTTTGAAACGTGGCGCTGCGAAGCACTATACGCTGGCTTCAGAAACATTTTGAAAACGTCTTAAAGACGGAGTTTTTATGTGTTGTTAGAACGCACCGATTCGTACGTCTTCGGGACGTCCAGATCAAGTCGTGAGACGTTCGGACCAAGAATGACGTCTAAGACGTCGTGTGCTATTTGGGTGATAATGTGATAATGTGGTTTGTTGGCTGGCATCAGACGATTAAAATCGTAAACACATTGTAAGCTTTATTATAGAAAACGGGCGAAATAGGAGATGTAACGTACATATATTAGACAAAAGGTATCTCTTTCATTATTTCCCACCACCTGTTGCTTATGCAATTGTTATACATGTGTATTTATGATACTCGTTTGGATGTTTAATAATTTTGAAAGGTAGATTATAAACTACTTCTACTTACACAGTGTGTTTCAACCACTAGGCGTTGCAGTCGAAGAAATGGAGTGTCTCCTAGACTTTATGTATCGTGGTTCGATCGACGTTGCAGAGGAACATCTACCCTCTTTAATTAAAACAGCGACGGATCTAGAGATTCGCGGTCTTTCTGGTGACCAGAGGAACCAAGAAAACAATCGCAGTCCTTACACAAGGGTCGAAGCACGAATGCAAAGATGCCATATAGAAACAAGAGTTCACACAACTGAGTACATAAAGGAACCATCCGTGATTCCATTCTTACCGAAACAGTCTTCCGTAGAATCGTTGGAGGATCACATCAAGGTGGAGGAAATCGAAGTGGAGGACGATCCGATGGTGATCGATGGACACGAGGATAGTTTCGACGAACCTTTGCGATCTTCAGAAACGCAAATCGTAAGTTAATAAGAATACCGTAAAGCAAATAAGTATAGAAATCGAATCAGATTGAATACAAATTCCCCTTATGATTGTTTTTTTTTTTTTTTTAAATGGAATAAATTAAACTCGTTTAATTCAAGTATTCTTTATTAGTGTTCAGAATAGAACTAATTCGTATTTAGCAACGAATGTAGCTATTTCAGATATAGCAACATTCTGTCCCTGGATTCTTATCGTTGGTAGATTTAGCTTGAAAATTGATTTATGTTCTATAGAGGTGTGCGAGAACCCGATGCTCGGGACTTTCTCAATAATTTCGGGGATCCCAAAAGTGTCGGGATTCTCGAGAACGTCAGGGATTCCCGAACGAGTCGGAATTCCCAAAAGTACCGGGATTCTCGAAAATGTTGAGAACCCATTTGCCGTTTCCAGACTTGCTTTAACGAACACGACCGCGGCTTCTCAAACTATTCAAGCACACTGCACTACAGCGTACACAATGTTTACGCAGTCGGCTTGTTTACGTCAAATCGCACCAATCCTAGTATCCGTGTTACTGACACACAGACATTGTATATTCCATAAATCCTAACAAAAAGTGCAGAAACATTGTTCTAATAATATGAATCCCGACACTTTCAGGAATCCCGACACTTTCGAGAATCCCGACACTTTCGAGAATCCCGTCTCATCCGGGAATCCCGAAAATCTTGAAATTCCCGATAGTGTCATCCAATCCCGGAAAAAATTCCCGACCCGACCCGATATTTTCGGGTTCTCGCGCGCCTCTAATGTTCTAGTCACAAAATGAAGCTGAACTTTACTGCTTAGATTGTAAACTGCTATTATTAAAAGGAACATTAGATTATATTGTGGCTGTGAACACAAATAATGTTAGATTAGTATACAGGGTGATTCAGCTAAGTGTGCCACTTGAATTACTTGTAAATTGTTGGTTATATGAAAAAAATGGTTCAAACAAAAGTTGTATAATATCGAGGGGAGCACACGATGTTATAATTAGTGTATATTGCTATTTCGCTTTTTTATCGAGATATGAAGGCCACCTTGAGTTTTTTAATGGTGATGGGTAAAATTTTACTCTGCGGTTGGAAAGAGTATCGAACGCTTAAAAACTAATAATTACCATGGTATTATTCTTTGAACGATTTGTAATGCAAGTGATGCTCAAAATAATGTGCGTAGTCGATTAATAAATGAAAATTACGCATGTTATAGCATTACGTGCTGTTATTATACGATTTTTCATATCTTCAGGTGTCGTTGGCTCGCAGTTAAGTTCATTTTTAGATGCTCCCAAAGAAAGTAGTCAAGTGGCGTCAAATCCGGCCATGAAAGTTTGTCAGCATTCCCTGAAGAATATCTCAGTAATTATTAGTCCTCGAACCCACACACCTTAATAATTTTTTACTCAGGGTTCAATACTCTTTCCAACTGTAGAGTCAAATTTTACCCATTACCGTTACAAAATTCAATGTGATCTTGGTATCCCGGTAAGAAAGTGAAATAGCAATATAAATTAATTGTTACATCGTGTGCTCCCCTTGATACCATATAACTTTTGTCTGAAACATTTTTCCATGCAACCAACAGTTTAGATGGCACACCTAGCTGAATCGCTGTAAATATTTATGAATGGTAATATAAGATATTCTGCGATAATATTATTTCCTTTGTTACTCAAAGAAAATACAAAATCTCGTAAGATGTGTTACGTACCTTTCGTGCCTCAGGGTCCCCGGTTTCGGTCAGTCCATTCAAGGAGTTTACCTGGGATAGGGGCGGCGACAGTGACTACCGCAGGATTAATTCACACAAGTTTACTGACTATCGGTTTCTGTACAGAGGCGTTCCTTGATGCAGGGATATACAACTGAGAGTCCGCGCCGGAAGCGCGTTGGTTTTTTAAGCTGCATCCCTCTCTTGTCCTCGGGGTGGTGGGAATGGGTTGGAGGAGGAAAGATTGAAACAAGGATAGATAGTTTGGGAATTTTCCGGACATACAGCGAGCCTACCCAAGTTTAGACAATTGCCCCCTTTTTGGGGCATCGAAGGATGTCGGAGACATGAACCAAGGATAGATAGTTTGGGAATTTTCCGGACAGTACAGCGAGCCTACCCAAGTTTAGACAATTGCCTCCTTTTTGGGGCATCGAAGGATGTCGGAGACATGAACAGGACGCGTGGCACTCCGGCCCTCGAGCGTCGGGCTCTCGGTGCCTCGCATAGTCTCGAGTGACGCGCCCGGTTCTTACCTGATTTATTGCACTACCCTTGTGTGTCTTTTCGCTGTAACTGCCCGAAGGAATTTTGGTGAATGCAGAGTGTGTGACCGTTGTAGGATTTCTATGGTTTCCCCGAAGACAAGAGAGGTTCGCTAGGCTTGGAGGTTTCGGACGTAACAGATGGTACAAAACTTTTTGAAAACAAATAAGAGAAGTACATTAATCGAGATACTTCTTTCTTACGTTCATCGATATCTTAATAATTCATTATGATTAAGGTAGAAACAGTCTCCAAGTTCGTATCGTCAAGAGGTTGAGTTAAATTAAAAGAAGTTTGTTCGATACATTCGTATCATCGGCAGACTAATTAAGTTCATATACTAACTTTTGTATCTTTCTAATTTAAGTTGTATACATTTTCAACATTATTGATTTTGCTCCTCGAGGCTTTCGAAATGTTCATACTAATGCGTATCTTGCACTAGATGTTTCGAAGCACCATATTTATATCATAGATTGTTGATTACCAATCGTGAATGTTCCTCTTATCAATTGGTCAACTAAACACTTGAAAAGAGAAATAGGCGTGTATTAGATTAAAAAAAAAATGGTACTCTGTATCCCAGTTAATGTTACTGGGATACTTGAAATTATAAGATTTCTCTGGTTTCTTTGTATCTTTTGGGAAAGGATTCTTTTGATTTACATAATACTTTGGGGTTATTGAAGATAATTCCCTAATTTTATCGTGACCAACGATTACACCTGACTGCAGTTTACGTTCTTTTATTCTGGTGTTTATACTTCACCAATTTCCTCTAGGTATAGTTATCCGTAAAAGCATAAAATGTTAAGGAATTTCAATGAAAATTGTGTTGTGCTGTGGATTCTTACGTAGGGTGAAAATTTCACTAATCTTCTGATACGTTGCAAGGATTGGCCAAATGATTTTGTATTTCGATTGCATTTTTCCATTTTATTTTTATGGAATCATGTGAAGACAGTTTGTGCACAGTTCAATTTTTACTCGAATTCGTTTCCTTCCTGTAAATACAGGGTGTCTCTAGTCTAAGGGGGTCTTCTAGTGTGACGGCCGTTTTTTTAGGCCTTCTTTGCTAATTTATTACAGAAGTACGGTAAAAGTTATTAACATGAGCTTTATTCCTACGTATTTACGTGTCCTTGAAGAATCGTTACAAATTTTTGTTGTTGAAAAATAATTAAATATGGCTGCTGTGGAACACGTCAAACAGGAGCATGAAAAAAGAAGTAGGTCCATGGTTGCTATGATTTGAGCTGTTCTGCTTATTAGAAATAAAAAAATCCAATTGATTCTTATTTAGTATGCATGTCGCTGTGGTCGGTAGTAGAATAAAAGAAAAATATTGAAATTTAAAAAAATGGCGGCACTTTGAATACGAAGTATCGATTTTTTCGACGTTTTTTCGTCTTTCAGAGGCTCTAAAAATCAGAAAAATATATATTTTGGTATAATTCTACTACCGACCGTAGCCACACATGTTCTGAAGATATGTGCAAAATTTGAGTTCGATTGGTTCAGTAGTTCTTGCCAGATAGTGGCAACCATTTCAGAAAACATGGTTCCAAGAGAAACGCGTTTCAAGTTTTCAGTGCAATTTACATTCTCCCTATCGCCGGCCTTTGATGTGTCACACTAAACGAGCTATAACTTTGTTATTTTATTGAATACAACTATAAAACTTCAGGAGTACATTCTTAAAGAGTTGTATTTTCGATATATGCAAACAAATAAAAATCGATTTTTTGAAACCGTCACACTAGAAGACCCCTGGGACCGCCGTTTATTTGGGACAGATACTGAAGAACGGAATATAAATACGTGTTTATTTACTTATTTTTGATTACGTATTAATGTTATTTTATTACTTATTGTTAGCTTTGTTTGCATGCTTAAACACACATTTGTATTCAAGACCGAATATTACATACGTTTTTCAATAAATCATTTTTGGCTTCATTTTTTACGTTCTTCAGATTTTGCCTGTTGAAATTCGCTTTTTTGGAACAGCCGTTTAATTGGGACAAATTAGTCCGGTCCCAATGTGTCCCAATTAACCGGAATCCACTGTACATCATTTGAAATAACTATTAAACGCTAAGGGATACAAGAAAAATGTAAAAAGGTTCTCTCTATCCTTTTACATACAATATTATATCTGAGAAGAAAATCTTTCTCTTTCACTTTTCAGCGTCATTTCAAGATCACTTTTAAAAATGGAACGCTATATTTTTGTTTAGGTATTATGAAAGAGCAGAAAAAGGCAAATTGAACGTACTACTTTGAAGTGACCGTGTAGTAATCTACACTTACAAAAAAGGAGTAACTGTTGAAACAAACAAATTCAAGTTTACCGTTGATTTACACACTTTGTTTACAAGACATGTTCGAAAGATCCATCTTCACCTCTCAGGCACCGTGTACATGTAGTCTGTTATGAAATGATCGTATGACCATAGAGTAATCATTACGAAAACAATCCATTCGAACTCGCACAAGTCTGGACGCCATATGTGTGCTTCCAAGGCTGCGTGAAGATAAAGGAAAAACTCTTGAACGTAGGGACGTAAAAAGAGAGGAGAGGAAATAGTAGATAGAAAAATCTGAACTGTTAAAGTTAAGGTGTTAGTCCACCCTGATGAATTAAAAGAGTCGCAATCGTTCCTTAGCTTAATCGATAGTTCATAGTTCTAATAATAATATCCAATTGGTGGTAGTGAGAAATTCAA